GCAGGAAGGGGACTCCCAGAGCCCCGTTCTGTACTGGGCTGTGCCACTGTCCCTGTCTGCCATGACGAGCTCCAGGCCAGGCCAAGTGACATCACGGTTTGAAGGAGGCTCATCACACCCTTCTGTACTGTGACGCCCTGGGACCCCAGCCAACCCCCTTCCCGGCTCTCCAGGGGCCATCAACATGGGTGGGGGGAGCTGAAGGGAGTGAGCCTGGCTCAGGAGAAGGGGGTGCAGCAGAGGAGGGACAGCAGGCTGACCCCAGAGTGGTCAGCCCTGAGGCGGCCCTTACCTTCACCTCCTGAATCATCTTGGCCACCTCTACCTTCGTCTTCCCTTTGATGGACCGGCCGTTGACGCCAGTGATCTCATCCCCAGCTGCCACAGTGCCGTCCAGGGCAGCCGGGGTGTTGTCAAACACCTGGCGGGGAGGGGGGCGGTCGTCAGGAAGGAACAGAGGAGGGACAGGTGAACTGAGAGGGCAGCAAGGGGCCAGTGGAGTCATTCCCTCCCCTCAGGCCCCTGGCTAAGCTGGAGCAGGGCAGAGGTCAAAAGCCCCTGAAGAGCCATCCCAGGGGGAAAGAGGCAAGGGGCGGAGCCTCAGTGCAAACTGGTGAGCCCTTCCTTTGCTCAAGTCAAACCACACGCCTTGCACACCCAAGGGACCGCTGGGTGCGCCAGTCCTTTCTTTGCTTTTGCTCCAGCCCTGCGGCTGCAGCCGGCCTCCCTGGTGGCCCAGAGTGCCTCCGGCCCAGTTACTGAACCTTCCTCATGAGGGGCACCCTTAGCAGGCCGCCTGTCTGACCAGGTCCAGCAACGTAAGTCCTGCTGGTGACCAGGGAGTCTGTGCAGAGGCAGACACAGGCTCTAAGACACCACCCGTGGGTGGAGCCCACCGTGGGCAGCGGTTTCCCTCGACCTCATCTCCGGTTTCCAGCATCCCCACGAAATCACACAGAAAGCAGTGCAGCCACCATAAAATAGAGAGTTCTTTCTTTTAGAGTCCGAAGTCATGCACAAGAACCCCGTAACGGCTTAGAAGAAAACCAAGAAGAGTCGGAAGAGCAGCCCAAACGAGAGGTGTCTGGCGGCTCTGGCAGACGGGGCAGTGGGCAGTCACAGAGGTCTCCGCAGAACTGGGGCCTCGGGGCTCCGTGGACCTCTGAGAAAGAGCCCATCTTCACTGGAAACTTCCAGAAGGCTGTGAAGTGGAGCTCTGGAAAGAGCCATGGTGCAGAAGCAAGGTGCCGAACGCAGAGGGGCAAACAACTCCAAGCACTCCCCACCCGCAGAGCCCAGCAGCCCGCTCGGCAGTCGGGGGGGTGGGGGTGTACCTGATTCTCTAGAGAGGCTCCCAATGTCAAGACAAAGGAGCCCACTACAGAATAGAACTACGGAATGATAAAAGGGTCGATTGGTGGCGAAACATGAAAATTCGAAATGTGTATGTACTGCACAGAGGACCTCGGGCGCTTGCGGAGGAAGATGCAGGACCGCAGGCTTTGCTATAGATGACAACTCAGTGTAGGAAGACCAGCTCCTCCCAACTGCACCCACAGGTCACACCGTGAGAAATGGAGGAAAGTTGATGTGGTCAAGGACTTCGTCTTACTCGTCTCCACAATCAACACACAAGAACGGTGGTGATATCATCAGAACACATTTGTGTAGATTTTTGCATGGGAAAAAAAATCATAAATTTCCCTCAAAATAGACTGTTGGAGTACACAGTTGCCATCATAGTATAAAACAGTAAAATGTACTTTAAAAGCCGTCCTTTCATTTTCAGAGATAACATAAAGATTTCTGCATGAGGTAAATCTACAGCATAGTTCGTTTTTAGATTTTGTTAAGTCCTGCAAAGAAGAAGAAAAAGCTTCATTTGTGGTAGAATACCGTGCTGTGTTTAAATGTTACTTGTTTTCAAACTTTGTCTTCTATGAAAATGACATGGAAACTTCTAAAATGGAATTTGGTGCATATGTACTGCTGAATAAAGACCGATGAAGAGGTTTGAGTAGATGTACAAATCAAGTAATGTTTGAACAACAATAAGATGCCTAATCTGTCCAATTGTTTTAGTCTTTTTACCTTCGATGTAGGCAGCCATGAACAATCTATTTTGAGCCACTTTAGGGAGAAAACTTTGTATTTTTAAAACTTGCATAAAGGTTATGCAAATGGTTTTTATAAATTGGAATAATGCCTCAGTTTTGAAGTTATGCACACTAAATTAAATGTGACATAAATTAATTTGTACAAAAAAAGAATTCTTTATAAGGTGGCTCATTGTAGGGAAATCCTGTGCCTTCCCCTTTGAGCACAAGTGTCGCATGAACAACAGTTTGCTATAAGAAACACACCAGATTAGCCACCATTCGCTTCTGTATCTACTTTGTGTTTAAAAATCAACTGGTAAATAATGAGCTGACACCAGGGACTCAAGTGGAAAGTGGGTGTCGAAGAATGATGAAGTCAACATATGTACTAAAGTGCTGGACACAGATGACGTATGTACAGATTGTGATGAGTTGTATGAGCCCCTAATAAAATGATTATTTTATTTTTAAAAATCAATTGGTAATTCTGAAACACTGTAGAATGGATAAAAATTATTTTGTGATCATAACTTTGTTGAACTAGAGTATTTTCGCAGCATTCCTTGTCTCAGAAACATGGTTAAAATTTAAAACTAGACGCAGCCGAAAACTGGCTTATAAAATTTACCCAAGTAGAGTGCAGGCTAGGCTGTCTTGGGGAAATAAACATTAAAACTTAAAAAAAAAAAAAAAAAAAGAAAGGACAGCGCAGGACCAGGCAGTGTTCTGTTCTGTTGTGCGCAGACTCAGTGAGGGTCAGCACTGACTCGATGGCACCCAACGACAATACACAGCTCAAAATAGCGTCAGCAGAGAGCTGTGGGCAGAAGGGAGTAGAGGTCAGAGGGCGTTTGCATCTCAAAGAGCGAGTCTCTGGGACAGTCTCCAACATAGGTGGTCTGCTGTCTGACTGGCCCCCCGGACACCCACCAGTGAACACAGAGACTTCCAAAGCTGTGGTAGGGCCTTAACAACAAGCCAGAGACGGACTCCAGGCTTCCCATACTCAACGGACAACAGTGAAAGGACCATTCTCAGAGTAATCA